TTTGGGAGTTCGGGGTGTGGCTCTAGGGGGGCGGTCCCTCCTTTGGGAGTTCGGGGCGTGGCTCTAGGGGGCGGTCCCTCCTTTGGGAGTTCGGGCCGTGGCTCTAGGGGGCGGTCTTTTCTTGTTGGAAAACAGGTCCTCACCAGTCAGCTGTCCTTCCCTGTGTCTGTCATTTTTTTTGCTGTGTTTATAACACACAGGTGATCAGGCTTAGGACCTGCTCTGCTGGACTTACTGTCTCATAAACGTGACCCAGGGAGCCTTGTTTCCACACACAGTCATATTCACAGGGGTAGGGGTTAGGACTTGGGGAACACTTGATTCCACAGCAGCCATGGGCGCTCTTCCTTTCTATGCCAAGTCACACACTTGCATCGTTTGCTGATGGCATCAGTATGCGGGAGTAATGCCCTGCCCCCACCCGTGATGTGTTGCCTTCCCTCTGCTGGTGACAGCTGCTTCTGAGAGGCTTGATTATGGCTTCTTCCTCGTGGATTTGTGGCTTAGCCCGTTCACATCTTATCACAGTGGTTCTCCACCAGTCAGTGAGGGGGAGAGGATTTCCATGACTTGATAGAGGAAGTGAGGGTCTCCGTCTGCCGGTGGGGGGGTGAGCGTCCTTGAATTAGGATGAGGACCAAGTTCTCCTTCCTGGGTGGGAGGCATGGCTCTTCTGGCTTGGTGTCCGTCCCCCTGATGAAGTAGGGGGAGGCGTTGGCACACCCTCGTGGGAAGGTGATCGGCTGGCGGCACCGTGCTCTCTGCTAACGCTGTATTGTCCCCACAGGATGAGTCAAAGCCCCCCTACTCGTACGCTCAGCTCATTGTGCAGGCCATCTCCTCGGCCCAGGACAGACAGCTGACACTGAGCGGGATTTACGCCCACATCACCAAGCACTACCCCTACTACCGGACCGCCGACAAGGGCTGGCAGGTGAGGCCAGGCGCCCCGACCGTGCTCAGCTGACCTCGGGACTTCCCTCCACCTAAGAGAAACCAGTGACTGCTGGGAGTCCAGCCGCGGTATACGGGGGCCGCGGTGTGTGGGAGCAGCAGCCCCCCATTCCACTGTCTTCCTGCACCTGGATTGTTAGTGTTGCTGTCGGGTCTGCCCAACTGGCGTCCCCCAGAACAGCGCAGGGCTGCCCCATGGAGTTCGTGGGCTGACCTTCACAAGAGCAGCCAGATCCTTGTTCTGTGGGGCCGCTGGGGGGGTTCGCTTACCAGCTGAGCGCTCCACTGTTGTGTCAGGTCTGGTTAGTGGTCAGCGTCCCCCTTTTCTGATGTCCAGAAGTGTGAAGATGGGCACGTGCCGGCCTCACGTTGGCGCCTGCTGCGTGCTCTACGTTGTTGCTGTTCGGTGCCGTCGAGCGGCTCTGACTCACAGCGACCTTAACGTACGGCAGAACGAAATGCTGCCAGTGAGCTGTGGCCACTGCCACTTTGGAAGTACACCATGCGCATGGTCCACGTATGGGTGTTTCCGTGAATGAACAGTGGACGTTCTGTCTTTGCTCGGGGTTGGAGCCTGGGTTTGCACACTCTGCTCGTTGGCGTGTATCTGCAGCGGGTATCGCCGGTCCCCTGGTTGCCCAGTTGGGTCTCGGGTTCTGCTTGCCCTGTTTCCTCCGTCCTGTGTGCTCCCAGACCAGCAAGGGCGGCAGGGGCTCCTGGGCTGGGCCTGTGTGTGTGAAGACAAGCACAGTCAAACACGGCGATGCAGCAGTTCCCACACGGGCACTTTGGCGGCGTTCTGCCAGTTAAACCACCTCTCTTGATGTTCTTTTCCAAACTGTTTCACCCTGAACACGAACTCGCTGTCTCGAGTTTTCATCTAACTCTCGAGTTGCTGTTGTCAGTTTGATTGTGGTCTTAAATGCTCAAGGTAGACATTCTTTCCTACTTAAGCTGAACTGTCATTGGTTTAAAGAAGACTTCAGGGAACCATTCTGGTCTGAGGTTTAAGAATGATCTCAGGGCCGCCACTTCAGGGAGGTCACCCAACCTCCATGTTCCACAGAGTCTGGATTCCATGAGAAGTTGAATTTCTGGTCCACATCTTCTCACACCACCGCCTTCTGATCAGATGCTTGGTAGTCCCACGCTAGATTTTGATGGGGAAGGACCACGGCTGTGCTTTGGGCTTTTCCAGTAAAGCCCAGCGTGAGGGCTGCGTCACGTGCCTTCAGGTCTCCCGTCTGTTGCGTCCGTGCTCCATGTGCCTGCAGCCGCGTCTCTGGATAACTGAGCGTTGGCGGTGTGGAGCGGGCTGCGGTTGGTTTGCTGATCGGCCCAGTCACGGTGGGTCTTTGCTTCCCTGCAGAATTCCATTCGACACAACCTGTCTCTAAACCGCTACTTCATCAAGGTCCCACGTTCCCAGGAGGAGCCTGGGAAAGGCTCTTTTTGGCGAATAGACCCCGCCTCAGAAGCCAAACTAGTGGAGCAGGCGTTCCGGAAACGGAGGCAGAGAGGCGTCTCCTGCTTCCGGACCCCGTTTGGGCCCCTGTCATCCAGGTGAGCCCTACTGTGTGCTGACTTGGTATGTGCAGGCTATGGGAAAGGCGGCCTGCAGCCTAGAGGGAATTCAGTATTGTTTCTGGCACCTAAACACAGCACCCTGTCCCTGTAGAATGCCCAGGGACCGAGGTGCACCCTACTTATTCACCAGGTTAATGAGCTAATGGCCGGTCCCTCTGTCAGTTGTTAGAGGCTGACACAGTCGAGCAGTGTGAATGGCCTTTGAAAGCGTGATGCCCGTCAGTGGAGTGTGGCCACAGCTGCTTGCCCGGAGACAGACCCGGCAGCGGCAGGGGCAGGCCAGGGTGCGGCGGTGGCAGCGGCTTGACAGAGCTGCAGGGCTCATGTCCCGGGGCGCCACGCTCGCTGAGCCCTCAGGCACACATTCTCCCTGTGGGGTCTCTGCTGCACAGTTGGTGATCCGCTAGAGGCCACCTCGTCACATGAGGCCACCTCGTCATATGAGGCCAGCAGGCCTTTCAGGAAACGTGCTTCAGGCATGCCCTGGGCTGAGCTGCAGAAGGGCTGTGTTTGGTGGGGCTCCCAGTGCCGGGTCTCTGGTCGGGGTCGGGGGTCACTAGACGGGCCGTGTTTGGTGGGGCTCCCAGTGCTGGGTCTCTGGTTGGGGTCGGGGGTCACTAGACGGGCCACATTTACTGGGGCTCCCAGTGCCGGGTCTCTGGTCGGGGTCGCCACCAGGAGAGGTAGAGTGGAGAGTGCCATGGGAGCGCGGGAAGGACATCGGGCACTGGGCTGGGTTGTGTTTTTTCCATCTCTAGCTCATCCCAGCCTGACACCCATGCTTTCTTCCCAGGAGTGCGCCTGCCTCACCCACCCACCCTGGGCTCATGTCACCACGCCCCAGTGGCCTGCAGACACCAGAGTGCCTGTCCCGGGAGGGTTCGCCCATTCCACACGACCCAGATTTCGGGTCAAAGTTAGCATCCGTTCCTGAGTACCGGTACTCCCAAAGCGCACCTGGTGAGGTTCCTTTCTGTCTTCGTCTAGCACAGCAGGACTCGGCATGGGGCGGGGGGAGTGGCTGGCTGTCCGCTGTGGCCTCACCTGCTCCTCTGTGTCCAGGCTCGCCAGTCAGCGCCCAGCCGGTCATCATGACGGTCCCGCCCCGGCCGTCCAGCCTCGTGGCCAAGCCTGTGGCTTACATGCCAGCCTCCATCATGGCCTCCCAGCAGACCTCAGGCCACGCAATCCACGTGGTGCAGCAGGCACCCACCGTCACCATGGTCAGGGTCGTCACCACATCTGCCAGCTCTGCCAACGGCTATATCCTGGCCAGCCAGGGCATGGCTGGCAGCGCCCACGATGCGCCGGGCACGGCTGTGCTGGACCTCGGCAGCGAGGCCAGAGGTACTTCGGTTGGGAGCCCCTGCGCCTGGGGCCTCGGGCTGGGGTGGTCAGGCACAGTCCTTGGTGTCGGGACTTCAGGGCTGGCTGTGGGGCTGCTGTACCCGCAGTGCAGTCTTTAGGGGTCTGCCCTTTGGCGGCCTCCTGCTCGCGTCCTCTGTGTCTCGTGCGCCCTCCACAGCACACGGGTTTTGTTTTGGTCTCAAGGGGACATTGCGTGAAGGGTGGGCTGGGTCCTGCCTGTAGCTGAATTGAACTCTGAGGGAGGAGTGTCTAGATGGCCAAGCATCTACCAGCCAGGCACCCCCTAGTCTCTGTGCTGTGTGGGACCTAGCTCCCAGATGGATACCCCCTGGTCTCTGTGCTGTGTGGGACCCTGCTCCTGGCCGGGCACCCCCTGGTCTCTGCTGTGTGGGAACCCACTCTTAGCTGGGTACCCCCTGGGTCTCTGTACTGTGTGGGACCCCGCTCCTGGCCGGTCACCCCCTGGTCTCTGCTGTGTGGGAGCCTGTTCCTGTCTGGGTACCCCCTAAGTCTCTGTGCTGTGTGAGAGCCCGCTTCTGGCTGAGTACCCCCTAAGTCTTTGTGCTGCACGGCACCCACTCCTAGCTGGGCACCCCCTCAGGCTCTCTGCTGTGCGGGACCCTGCTCCCAGCCGGGCACCCCCTGGTCTCTGTGCTGTGTGGGAGCCCGCTCCTAGCTGGGTACCCCCTCAGGCTCTCTGCTGTGCGGGACCCTGCTCCCGGCCGGACGCCCCCTCGGTCTGTGTGCTGTGCAGTGCCTCCTCTTGTCACCATTGTTGCCACAGTCTGTCAGGAATCATGTGTCTAACAATATTGCGACAGAAAACGTCTCGGTAAGAGACGGTGACAGCTCCAAATGCATTACATTTCAGAAGGGACTTTTTCCCTTAGACTGAGCTCAGGGTGGGCTCCAGTTTAAGGTGTAAGTGACTTTTCCCTAATGTCTCTTCCTTGCCTCTGGAAATGTCTTTCATGGGTGAGGTGGCTTCCTGAGGCCAGGCTCCTGGAACACGCAGCCACCAGGGGCCGAGTCTGACACTGTCCTGTCCTTTAGGCCTGGAGGAGAAGCCCACCATTGCCTTCACCACCATCCCCACTGCCAGCCGTGTCATCCAGACGGTGGCCAGCCAGATGGCCCCAGGTGTCCCTGGACACACGGTGGCTATTCTGCAGCCGGCCACCCCAGTGACCCTCGGGCAGCACCAGTTGCCGGTGCGGGCCGTCACCCAGAATGGGAAGCACACCACGCCCCCCAGTGGCCTGGCTGGCAGCACTTACGGTAAGGCCTCCAGGGACAGTGGCAGAGCCCCCGGGGTCTACAGCTACCGGATGGCAGACAGGTGGGATGGAGGTGGAGCGGGGCAGGGGTGTGGGTGGCATGGCACTCAGGGCACCGTGTAAGGGGGCATCTAGGAGCTGGGAAGGCCTTTCTGGGGTGTTTGGGGGTCAGCTGGCAGAAGGGGGGGCCTTGAGGTGACAGCAGCACACGGGCAGGTCAGTGCGGCTGGGGTCGGGGTCCTGCACAGGCAGCAGGGGTCACACTGGGCGGGGGCGGCCGCCTGCACCCACCTGTGGGCGAGGGAAGTAGGCCTGGAGCTATGGGGGCTGTGGCCACTGCTAGGAGGGCAGCGTGAAGGCAGAGCCAGCCGGCCGGGGGGACCCGCAGCTGATGGGGCCTGTGCTCGGGAGCGGGTGTGGTCCTCCGGCCTCCCCACTCACAGCCTGTCTCCCCTGCAGCCCTCACCAGCCCCTTGCAGCTCCTCGCCGCCCAGGCCAGCTCGTCTACTCCCGTGGTGGTGACACGTGTGTGCGAGGTGGGGCCCGAGGAGCCGCCGGCCGTGGTCACAGCGGCCACCACCCCCACCCCCACCGCCTCTGCTGCTGTGCCGTCCTCCACCGGGGAGCCCGAGGTCAAGCGGTCCCGGGTGGAGGAGCCCGGTGGGCCCGCGGTTGGACAGGCCAGCGTGATCGCAGCCGCCGGCCCCCAGGGCCCTGGCTCTGGGGACTGACAGCCCAGCGGTGTGGATCCAGAGCAGGGGCGTGGCCGAGCCCGCTGCGCTCACGGACGTGCATGGGTGGCGCAGCCCAGAGCCCACGGTGCCACGCACCCAGGACCCACGGCCACTCCTTTTACTCTGCCCTCCCCGTGGTCAAACAAACATAAACACATTCAGACAACCTACTGTGCGTCTGGGGGTTCTTTCCTTCTCCCTTTGCACCTTCTGGTCCCCCAACCTTGCTCTCGGGGGCACCAGGGGGAAGGCTGCAGTCCACTGTGCGAGGAACATGCCCAGCAGATCTGCCCGCGAGGAGCAGGCTCCCATGTCCACGCCTGGCACCCCCCCTCGGCTCAGCTGGCACGGAAGGAGCCCCCCGTCACCCAGGAGACTGCGCGGTGCTGGAGGAATGGCCGTGGCCTACACTGGCCCTCAAGGCTGCAAGAACGCCTCTGAGACCTCAGGGTACAGTGGCCGCCCGGGAGCTGGTGGTGTCTGCCAGGGGCCTGGTGTGGCTCTGGGACCCCGAGGACCCCGCACAGTCCTCATCCTGCATGAACACCGAGGTGAGGCAGGTGCAGAAGGTCGGCGTCCTGCTGAGGCCGCCTCATGGATGGCTCACGGTGGCAGTCGGGTACCTGCTGCCTGTCCCCTTGGGGCCTGCCTCAGCTGTGGACTCTGAGAAGACTAGGTGGGAGGTCAGCCCGAGCCTGTGGGACGGGGCCGCACCTGTGTGCTGTGTCAGCTGAAAGTCGGGCGGCTCGAGCAGGGCAGAGGCTGCTTGCTGGCTTGATGTGGAGGACAGCGCCTGCCTCTGTGCCCGAGGCTGGGGCCAGCTGCGGTGGGACTGGTCAGTCTGCTCTTCACCCACGTGTCTCACTGCCACCTGGAGCCCAGCCCCGGGCCAGTCAGCAGGAGGGAAACTACCTCCCGGAGTGGCGTGGGGGTCCTGCGCTCACCTCCTGGCTCCACGCTCCTGACGTGCTGGATGAGAGGCCACTCCTGCCCCAGCGCCCCCAATGGCCCGAGGGCCCAGCTGTGAGTAGGGTTGAGCACGGACTGGCAGACTGCAGCCCCTTGGTGGCCTTGGGAGAGCACGTTCTGGAAATGGCATGTTTAGTAAACATTGATAGCACCTGCTGGGCCCTGGCATTGCAACTTGTGGTGGTGGTCACAACCAGAGACGGCAGTGGTAAGTTCCAGCCAAGCTAGGGGCCTCAGCTGAAGCAGCCTTCTCCTGCAGCTTGCCTGTCCTCGTGGAGTGGCCGCCAACACCAGGCTGTCGGGTGGGTGACCGCCACAGCAGACATCCCTGCAAGGGCAGCACCGGCTGGCCTGTTGGGCGCACGGTGGTTTTAAGGAGCTTGGGCAGGCTGGGTATGACCAGGGCGGAAGTCCTAGCAGCTGCAGGGGATGGGGATGTGGGGCTCCGTTTGCCTTGATGTCACTCAGCCGTTGGCAGGGAGGTCCCGTGCTGTCTCTGCCTGGAACGGGGCACGCCTTCCACGCCATTCAAGCCCCAGACCTGCCAGTTCTGTGCCACTAATTTGAGGTTAGTGAAACAAGCTTTTGTGCGTGTGTTGTGCAGGCAGGTGGAGTGTGCATGGGGTCTCCCAGGCCCCTCGGCCAAGAGCCTGGACAGTGCCTCCAGGCCCCTGCTGCTCTGCCCCTCCTGGATGGTGGAGCCCCGCAGGGGGGGGGCCCGCACTCCCCACTGCGAGAGCCGGCGTGGCCTGCAAGGGGCACCCGGGCGGGGGGTGAGCCTGTGTCCCACCTGACCCTCTACTCCCCGACGTGGAGAGGTTTCTGCCCATTCTGAGTGACGGGACACAGACGCTGAGGGCCAGTGGGTGACTGTCCACCAAGGGGCTGCCTTAGCTTTGCCGGGCCCAAGAGGAGCGAAGGGTTCGGGGTGAGACCTGTGGGGTCAGCTCAGACCCATAGTGTGCCTGGGGGGCAGGACGTGGCTCCAAACTAAGGGCTTCCTGGCAGGGACTCGGTCACCAGCCATGTCTCGGGCCAGGAGGGCCGGTCCCCAGAGGAGGAACAGGCCCGGCCCAAGGCCGCCCAGTGCCCCGAGCCTGAGCTGAAGGGCAGCGTTCTCGTCACAGGGTGGGTGGCGCCGGAGTGTCAGCAAAACTGGACTGGGGGCATGGGCAGCCCACCTGGTGCCTCTGGCCTGGACCTGCAGTCCTCAGGGTGACTCGAGCCTGCTTTACTGTTGGGCGCTGGGCCCCTGGGGAGCCGCCTCCAGGCCCTGGACCACGGACAGGAAGAATGAAGCCAGGCCCCTGGACCCAGAGGGACTGGGCAGCAGGCTGGCCGCCTGCCCTCGGTGGCCTGCTGGCTGTTGGTTTGCACTTTTTTTCTGTGACGGAGTAACAAAGCTGCAGGGGCGGGGAAAGGGTTCCCGATCCTGAAAGGGGCGCCCGGGATCCCTGGGGGACACGCCGTGTCTCTGGAGCTGGGGAGAGCGGCCGGCCTACGCAGGCAGGCAGGCCCGGTGTGCTCTCATCTCTGCAGAAACAGGGCGGCCTGGGAGCGTCTCGGGGTGAGCAGGCTGTAACCAGTGGGGCGGCTCAGGAGGACAGCGGTCTTTTGGCGCCTTGTAGACAGAGCAGCCCTGGCGTCCAGACCAGCTCGTAGGAAGAGAGGAAGGCAGAGAAGAAACACGTTCTCTGAGGTGTCCCATCCCGCCTTGCACTGGCCACCTCCAGCCCCTCCCGAGGAAAGGCAGATGGACCCCAAGGAGGCCCCCGGCTCCGGGTGACCCTGGGCACACGCGTGACAGAGGCCAGTTGAACAGAGTTCTGCTCACTCTAGGACAGGACTGGGCGGAAGGGCTGAGGGCAGCCTGGGCCTCAGGGTGGCTACTCCGCAGCAGTGGGTCACTGCCGGAGCCCCCCAGACCTGCTGTCACCTGGGCTCGGAGTGCAAGGTGATCCGGAGTCTGGGTCACGACCCCTGCTCATCCCTCTGTCCAGAAACAAGGCTGTGTCCTTAGAACAGTGGCACGTCCCCTGTGAGCTGCTGGGGAGACAGGCTCTTGGAGGGAGCGGGTGGCCCCCGGAGGGTGGCTGTGAGTGGTGGCCACGTGTGTCCCTGACTACGCTCACCTCTCCTCCTTCCTGGCTCCGTTTCCAGCCCTTGTTTCCCATGTTACGGTTTTAACACGCTCAGGACGCGGCTCTCACTGGCACTCACCGTCCCCCAGGTTCCGTCTTTTAGAATCAAAAGCTGCTGCTGCCATGGGGCTGGGGCGGGGGGTTGAGGGCGGTACTTGGGGGGGACTGCACAGGGGTGGGGACCGTGTGCAAGGTGGGTGGGGCGGTGCACAGGACAGGGAAAGTACGTGGAGAGGGGGGACAGTGTGCGGGGGAGATGGTGGGGACAGTGTGCGGGATGGGGGGTGCATGGGACGGGGGAAGGTGTGTGGGGCTGGGAAAAGGATGCTTCATGATGCAGATGTGGGGAGGGGAGGTGGGGGGTGGGGGACGGCGCTCTGCGGGGTTCCCCCTAGGGTGGTAGGTGGCTATGCACCTCACGCCACCAAGTCTCGTGTGTGCGTGGTCTCTCAGGCTTTGGTGCACTTGAAACCCTGTCTAGGAGTGGGTTTTGTCTCGTGGGCAGTGGTTTTGCCCCAATCCCACAGCCCCGGACGAGAGCGGTTTGAAAGGGTGGGTTCTGAGTCTGCCCAAGGCCCTTCCTGACCTGCCTCCCCGCCCCACTGCAGCCCCCAGCCTGCTGTTTGGGGACCTTCCTCTAGGTGCCTCCCAAACCCCATACCCGGCAGAGGCAGGGGGGCAGAGAGGCCCAGCCACTGCACGGAGGTGGGACAGGTGGTGGAGGTCAGTGCTCTCCAGGGCAGGACTTGGCAGCGTGGGGCCTGTGGGGTTTGGCCCGTCTGACGGCCGTGCCACCCCTCCCACGTCTCGGAGGGTCCGTCAGCCGCTGGCCAGTCAGTTGAGGACAGGAGAAGCTATGGGGGGCTGTGTGGGGGCGGCCTGGACTGGTGGCTGCACGGCACAGCCAACGGCACTGGCTGGAACCCGAGGGCCTCGGGGCGGCCAGCCTCACCCTGGTGGCCGGGTGCGGCCGCAGTGACAAGGTGCTGGGATGCCAGGCCGAGGCAAGGCACCCCTTCGGCCCGTCTGCCCTGGGCCCAGCAGGCCTCACCCTTCCAGGCTGTTGTCCCCGGTCGGAGCAGTTTGCCAGCCCTGCCCCAAGCTCCTGCGCTTGTTGACAGGGCTGGATTGAGGCCGGCCCAGGTGGATGTCAGAGCTGTGCCCGTGGCCTCGTAAGCCCCAGCCTCTTAACTTTCGGGCTCACTAGTCCGGTTGTTTCTTGTCATTCTAAATTTTTAAAAAATCAGGTATTTTAGGTTTGACACCCCCCCCACACACACACACACACACACACACAGACACTTGCTATACTTTAATTTACATGGCTTGGTTTCTGTTTCAGGAGACAGGGCTGAGAGGGGTGGGAGAGACCGGCCCTCAGACTTCCCCGTGTGCACACCCGGGGCCCTGCACGCCCAGCCTGAGGAGGGACCAAAGCCTCAACAGTCCTTCTCTGTGGAAACAATGTGGGGTGTTGGGGTACATGTTGGTTTCACCCACAGCTGTGTAAGAATCGTCTTCAGGAAGCTGCGGGCTCAGGAGCAGCGTGTCCCCAGCAGTGGACACAGTCACAGAATGGGCCACATCTCATCGTCTGTGGGTGACAGCTGGGGGCGGGTGCATGTGGCCAGGAGGTGGCCAGTTTCATTTCAAACGGGATACAGTATTTTCAAACAAGGAGCCATACTTTCTTTCAAAAGTTTGAGATCCGAATGTGGTTTCTGATCGTACCAGGCGTTAATGCTTTGAAACTGTAACAAAAGTTTAAAATTTCTACTTCTTTCTCATCTATTTTAACTGCTCTGTTCTCTATTAAATTGTTGTACATGGATGGGGAAGTTGTTTTTCCTCCTAGCATTTATTTCTATAACCAGAAATAAAGTTATATATTAAAGATGCCACCCCCAGGCTCCGTGTGGTCCTTGGCGGGGCTGCTAGGGGAGCGCCGGGACCCCCATCTTCTCACTGCTGCCTGGGGTGAGTGTGGGGCCGTGAGCAGGCAGCAACTGGGAGCCCCGCTTCCTCCCGTTGCTCCGGGAAATAGCAGATGGGCAAAGAAGGCAGTCTCCGTGGGTCCCTGTGAGTTCCAGGACCCCGGCCTCTGGGGAGCGGGCGTCGGGCTCAGACATGCAGGCCAGCCGGGCTGTCCAGCTCTGCGTTGGCAGAGCCTCTCGCTCACCAGGCGGCCTTCCTTCAGACCCTCAGCTGCTGAGAATCAGGCAGGGGCGGCAGCCAAGGCACCTGGGCTGGCCCGAGACCACAGCCGGTCGCCCACCACAGAGACGTCTGCAACGAGAGCGCCACGGGCAGGGGCTGATGAGCTTATTTGCTTCAGTTTTGCTTCAGTGTCCATGTCCTGGATCTTGTCTAATTACGACAATCATTTTTCTCCAGTAAGCCATCACAGTAGCGTTTTACACAAATGTCTACTTCTTGGGAAATGGATCAGATACTGCTTTTGGTGATCTGCCTGGTGCGGTGTGCGTGGATGGACGGACGTGGTGCCCAGCACGGCTGTAGGTGCTCAGCACGGTAGCTGCCCTGTGAGCCAGGGACGGACCAGAAACAGCCCCAGCAAAGACGCCAGAGAGGATGGCTGCAGCTTTATTGAGAGCTGCCGGAACTTGGGACCGAGCCAGGTGTTGAGCAGTGTGGCTAAGTGACGGAGAACCCAGGCAGCCGTGTGCGTGCTCGGCACAGCGCCGAGGACAGCCACAGTGCAGCATCTTGGATGGCCCAGCAGCGTCACCATGGAGACCGTCAGAAGACGACGGTGTCCCACAGACGGGACGCACACGGGCCCAGCCGGCTCCGGGGCCTGAGTGAGGAGGGTGGTGGCCGGCGAGGGGGTGGGGGATGCCGGGCAGCGTCAGGGTGTGCTGGAGCCCACCCGCGAGAGCAGATTGAGATTTTGTGAGCTGGCCGATAACACGGCCATTATAAAGAGTCTGTCAACTTGGCTAAATTACACTGAAAATGAAGACGGTTCCCAGATGCATTGCTTCCTGCGGATTACAGCTGCTCCGGGGTTGCTCACAGCCGCAGGGGGCAGGCACCACATAGTGCACGTGACCCCACTGCTCTCCCCAGCTCTGCGGCAGCCGGCTGCCGTGGGGGCACTGTTTACACCACAGAAGTTGGCAAACACAGAGCCCCGCTCCCCCAAAGCCAGCACACCAGTGAACAATGCAGACGCGTAGGACCAGTTTCAGGTTTGTGCCCGTTACCACACAGGTGTTGCCGTCTATGAACATTTTCTAAGTTACAAAGCTAGTACTTGAAGTCCTCAGCTCTCAAGCGTTCTAGGCTGAAGTGTAGAGTGAGGAACCCTTGGGGTGCTGTGAACTGACAGGCTGGCGGTTCAGAGCCCCCTAGCGGCTCTGTGGGATTGTTGTTACGTGCCGTCTAGTTGGACCCAACTCATAGTGACCCCTCCTTGGGTTTCCAAGGCAGTATCACTACACAAGTAGATTGCCCCATCTTTCTTCCGAGGAGCGGCTGGTGGGTTTGAACCACCAGCCTTCTGGTTAGCAGTCAAGTGCCTTAGGCACTGCGCCACCAGAGCTTCCTCCGTGGGATTAGGACCTGACAATCTACTGCCATGAAGGCCGCAGCCTGGGAACGGGCGGCTCCCTGGCAAACCTAAGATGGCACAGCACGGGCAGCACCTGTTCTTCCTGCACACGGTCAACGTGAGCCAGAGCCAGGCCGGCAGCACCGCCAGACGGCTCGAGTCCACAGCAAACCCCCACGGACCGCATATCTGTATGGAGCTTTGTCCCGTGTTGCCTGGCTCTCGGGCCGGGACTCTGCAGGCCACATCTCTGTGCAGGCGGCTCCTCCATTAGGCCCTACCAGCACGGTGGCCAAGGGACACAGGCGGCAGGACACATCTGTGTGTGGCAGCAGCAGTGATAGTGGTGACGTGTGTCCAGCACTGGCAAGACCTCGGGGGTCCGAGTTGCAGCTCTGGGGAACCATCCTGCAAGCTTCTCCCACCGCTGTCCACCTGTCCCCGCTCCCAGCACGGCTGCCACTTCATGCCGCTTTTCTGCTTTCCAGCTCTCCGGGACCTGGCTGGCACGTGCTGACTTCCAGGTGCTGAAGGACCCCGGACCCAGCAAGCTTTCAGCTTCCTGCCAGGTCTGCGTCTTTGGCTCCTCGGTACCTAACCTGGCTCAGCCTCTCCCAGGTGCCATGTTCTCTGTCCCTTCCTGTTTCTCACTGTCCCTCTGCAGGCAGCAAGTGGCATGGTGCCACACACAGGGCGTCAGGCCACAGCTTTCAAAACCCTGCACCATTCACAGACTAAGGTGGGTCGTCAAGCCCGACAGTGCTTCCGTTTCACCCTTGCAGTGGGGGCCACAGGCTGAGTCGTCCTCAAGGTGGGAGAGGGTCGCTACGCAGTGGCTAGCACAGTGGCCACAGGTCTGCCCAGCCCCCCAGGCGCCTTGGCAATGGGTTTCCCCCCGAGGCCATCGTCCACCACCCTCCAAGGACACACACTGCCTTCTCGGCTGTCTCCCTCAGCACTCACCATGACTTGATGCTGTTTATGCTGTCATTCTGCCTTTCTCACTCTGTCCCCAAGGAGTAATGCCATCGTGAGTGATGTCCCAAACTTCTGGTCCTCTCTTGACAAGTGAACACACCAACCACAGATTGAGGCGGAAACCTGCTGGTGGCCCTTGGTGTCTCCCCCTCCTCACCCCCACCTGTCAATCAAGTCCTGCAAATCCACGCATGAAGGTGACTTTAAGAATTGCACTGTGTCCCCCAGAACGTCTTGAAATCCTCACCCCTCCATCTGGTTATAACCCTACCTGGGATCTGGTTGCCTTATTAGGTTAATGAGGGTCTGTCGATGTCAGGTCTCTTAAGCCAGACATCTCTGACCCATAAACCAAGCAGATCAGGCAGCGATGCGCCTGCAGAGATGAGAGAAGACCTGGAGCCAGGAGAGGAGCTGGAGACAATTTCCCGCGCGGTGGAGAGAGGGAAAGCCTTCCCCTAGGGCTGGCACTCTCATGGCGGACGTCTAGCCTCCTAACCTTTGGGGAAATGCCTGTTACAGCCGCCCATTTTAAAGAAACACCCGGGGACGGGCAACGACCAAACCTGTCTCGTGTGCTCTCAGGGCCTCTGCCTAGCGGGGCCTGGTCCTCGCGGCTGGGGCTCTGGCTGCGCCAGCCCCACCCCTGCGGCCACCCCGCTCCGTCCACGTGGACGGCCCTCCCAGCCCCTGCGCTGAGCCAGCAGGGAGCCGGCGTCTCCGCGCGGCCTCCGCCAGCCCCCTTCCAGCCCTTGCTCGGCACCCCCTCCAGAGCCCGGCCCCTTCCCACAGCCTTCCTCTCCCGCACCGTGGGCTGCGCCGCCGCCCTGAGCACCTCCGTGTCGCCAGGCAGTCTGGAGGCCCCAGCTCAGCCGGTGCACGTTCGACAGAATGAAGAGACGCTGCCTCCTCTCGGCGCCTCTCGCCCGGCTCGTGGGGAACGAGTCAGGAATGTGAAAAGCGGCGGCGACAGCCTAGGGCAGACGCTCGTCAATGGGATTTGCGAGCCTTGCTGGGCACGGGTCGGCTTGCAAGTAAGCTAGCTCATGTCCCTGTGGTCCCAGCACAGGGAGGGCCTGTGCAGGGCTCTGCGGAGACGACCCCGAGCCCGGAACGTGCAAGGGCCCTGAGCCTGGGAATGCCTTCTCCACCCGGAGCCGAAGCCACCGAAGCCCCTGGGCGCCCAGGCTCTGCATCTCGGCTGGAGTTCCGGTTCGCAGGGTTCCGAGGAGCCGGGAGTCTCGGGGTGCGGCAGCCACCAAGTTCCACCACCCAGCGCGCAGACCCGGCTTCCCGCCTGTGTGTCACTTCTGGCGACTAACCCCACCCCCGCCCCGAGATGCTCCGCGCCGAAGCTCATTCATTGGTTGGCAGTACGTCCGCCCCGCCCCGCGAGCCTGTGTCGCTCACGTGACGCCACACGTGACGCGACTCCGGAAGCCCACAAGCCTCAGGCCCGGCTCCCGGAGTCCTGAGGGAGCAGAGCGCGGCGGCGGCGTGATGTTCACAGCAGGGGCGGAGAGTCTGCTCCGCCAGGCCAGGTGCCCGGACCCGGGGTCTCTCCTCCTCTCCCTTGACGTACCTGGGGTGGGGTCTCAGAGGCAGGCCCGCGGGCGCCGGAACCTGGGGGACCCTGACGGGCACCGTTCTGCAGGCCTGGGGGGGGCGGGGGCGCGACGCGCGGGCCAGGCCTGAGGTGAGGCCGACTGGGGCGGGCAGGGGTGGCGACACCTATGCGGCGTCTTGAGGCGAAGTGGGGCGGGACCGCTTTACTGCTACGGCAGAGACTTGGCGGCGAGAGCCGCCTGTCTGGCAGGAGACAAGATGGGCAGAGCTGTCGGTGGCTTCAGGGTCAAGACCGTAAACTCACAAAAAGGCTGGAGGTTGGCGGGAATTAAGGAAAATGCAAGGATGGGCCCAGGAATAGCAAGGACTGAGTATGGCGCAGAAGCGGACAGTGTTTACATCTGTTGTACACGGGGTGGCTGAGTCGGACCGACGGCACCTAACAACGAGGAGATTGATAGGGACTGTGTAGCTAACCGGGGTTGGAGGTTCGAGTCCCGGCACACATGCCTCAGAATCAAGGCCTGGTGATCAGCTTTTGAAAGGCCACAGCCCTGAACACCCCACGGAACCCAGTTGGGTCACCATGAGTTGGGATCTACTGCTTGAGGGACTTTTTGACACCATGGAAGGTTTTGTGATTTACAGACATCATGGATGCTTTGGGTGGGTTGAGAAGTTACCCACCTTCTTCTGGTTTGAGGCTGGCTCTGGGCCCCCCCGCCCACTACGATATGTTGCAATATTTTTTCTTTAATGTAAGATTTAACTCTTGTTCTCAGAAGGTAAAGGCATGTTGACAGAATCTCTTGCAAAGCATTTTAGACTAAAACACTTACTTTTGAGCAGGAGTCCCCCAAACCAATTTGCTTTAGCTCTTCTCATGGAAGGACAAGCTCCAAGCACATGCTTCTCCGTTGGTGAGGCTGGGGGTGAAGGTGTCCCCCATGAGCCCTGCCTGCGAAGAGGGTAAATCCCGGCAGAGGGAAGCGGCCAGGTCTCCAGTCAGCTGCTGCATCACGAGGGGCCAGTGTGTGGCTAGAAGCACCCCTTCCCCAGCACTGAGATTCCTCTTTGCTAAGCAGGCATTGTCCCCCAGCTAAGGGTTGCTCGTACGTCCCTCAGAGCAGCCCGGCTCTAAGGAGCTCTGATGGTGCAGTGGTTAAAGCAGCGGGCTGCTAAGGGAAAGGTCGGGGGTTCAAAACTACCTGTTGCTCTGCAGGAGAAGATGAGGCAGTCTGCTTCCATAACGATTTACAGCCTTAGAAACCTTATGGGTTAGTTGTTCTCTGTCCTCTAGGTGCGCTGTGGGTCAGAATGGACTCCACAGCAGTGGGTGTGGTTTGGGCTTTGCTTCTGTGAAGA